GAAGGTGGAGGTGGAGACTTGTAGTAATACGGAGGTGGTGGTGAAGGTGATGGTGGAGGAGGAGATTTGTAATAATATGGTGGAGGTGGAGATGGCGATGGAGGTGGTGGAGACTTATACACATAGGGTGGAGGTGGAGACGGTGAGGGAGGTGGTGGTGACTTATACACATATGGTGGTGGTGGAGATGGTGAAGGAGGGGGTGGAGACGTATACACATATGGAGGAGGTGGTGATGGAGAAGGAGGAGGAGGTGATGGAGAAGGAGGAGGAGGTGACTTATAAACATATGGAGGCGGGGGAGAAGGTGAGGGAGGAGGTGGAGATTTGTATACATAGGGTGGTGGTGGAGAAGGAGAAGGAGGCGGTGGTGACTTGTACTCATACGTTGGAGGTGGTGGAGAAGAGTATACATAAGGGTCTGCCGACACTACATTAGCAACAACCAATATGGCCAACACCGTTAAGATTTGTGGCAAATATTGACGACCCTTGGCAGGGCCGCCACCTTGAAGCCTCATTTCGTCGGAAAATTACACCACCTAACCTCCCAAATGTGGCTAGTTAGAGTAAGAAGAAAGGAGATAACCTTAAGCTTTTCAGTTGAGAAGTGATGCCTTTGTGGGATTCATTTGCCTATGTATTTATAGTAAAACACCTTGAGATGTAGCTCGGTCTAAAGGACCAATTCAAATGTAAAAAAAATATGTAACATATTCTAATTTTACTTATAAAAACTCCACTTCTTGATCACTTTGAATTATTTTCACATCATTTACTTGCTATAAAGAAAATCATGAGAACAACATATGAATGTGCAAAGTGACATATCACTTCACATGCCACAAAATGTTGCTAAGGGAAAATGATTGCTAATTTTCAATATTTCCACTCTCTTACCATTTTGGTTTCCATGTGTTGTCTCTATCTCATGGACATTTACAGTTTGAGACCTACAAGTATCAATAATAATAATTGAATGATAATCATACACACAGTTAAAAAAATAAAATAAAATTGTATTCTTGTTTCTTTAGTTCATTAGTGGTAAATAAACTTAAACCAAAGATTGTGGTAGAATGGTAATTAGTAAATATTCCTCCATTCTTAATCAGATGTCTCGAGTTCGAGTTCAAGTTCTGAGTTTGAAGTCACCTTTAATAGGAAGTATTTTACTCGCTAACATGAAATTTTCCAATATAAATTCAGATAAAGCGAACACCAGACACGGAATGAAAAAGAACCTTCCTATGACGGATGCATGGCTTCAAGTATGTGGATTTTACTTGTTGCCAACTATAAATGTTGATTTCTTTGATATTGAAATGTTTCAACTACTCCATTATATTTTGTGATATACTTAAAAATAAGTTTGACTATTTATTTAATTTTAAAATCTTTTTATTAATTAATTTCAGAACCATTTGTTCATGAACTAAGTTATTAAAAATCAATCTCTGTCGTTTTCAATTAATACTAATTATTAATACCTAATAAGTTTATTAAAGAGTGTTTAATTTTTTGAGACTTGGAAAAAAGTACAAATCCGTACTTTAGGTACTCCATATTTTCTTTATTAGTACACAGTTTTTTGTCATTTTTGTATGAGGATTTAAGTTAGACATTAAATTATATGTAGAGTAAAAAATATCTATATATAATTAGGTAATTATAGGTAAATTTGTTTAATGAACATTGATTGGTAATGTTTTTTTAGTAAAAATTATAAGAATATATACTTCGTAATTTTACAATAAAGCTTATAGTATGTTTCATGAGTTGAATGTTTTATATTGCGGAGGTAAACATATTACACGATTCTTTTTATCTGTCAAATTTTGGTGGATAGAATTAAGTATTTAGTACATCTAATGATGAAAGAAATAAGTATCCGTGAAATTAGATGATTCAGGTAAATTAACCTGAACTCTGTAATTATAAGAAAATTTGCTCTGTAATATAACAAAAAAAAATCGATTGTCACTATATATATTTCAAACAAAACATAAATTCATTTATTTATTATCAGTTGACTTTGCTCCCATACTGGTACGTCTCTTCTTTTTTTTAATTTTAAAAAAGTTTAAATATATAAATAAACCACGAAAGAATATTAGACGTGGATTGATTAACTTTTTGGACACAATATTTTTATAAAAAAATTCAAAGAAGAACTATATTAAATAATTATAATGAAAATTATAGACCTTCTTAACATTGATGATTAATGTTTAAGATTTTAGTCAAATTCTTTTTTGCAAATTCATTATTTAATTATTTTGGCTTTTGTGATCCCACTGTTCGTCCACTAAGGAAGACATTTTATTAGATGAAACTTTATGAGGACGTTGAGGAAGCATCGTCTATACTCCCACTATTTTGTGTGTGTTAGTCCATTAATATTATGGTGATATGACTTTTAAATGATTTCTTTGCGAAACCTATACGAAATCCTCTGTAAGGAGTTGGGGGAGAAGTACATACATTATCATCATTTTTAGAGTTCATTTTGGGTATTTAAGGGCCAATTTATAGTAATTTAGCAATTTTCTCAATTTTTTGTGTGTTAGCCTATGAATATTTTGGTGATATAGCTTCTTGATGATTTCTTTGTATAATCTTTATGGAACCCTCCATAGGGAGTTGTGGGAGCAATATGTACAGTCTCACCATTTTCAGAGTCCATTTTGTAAAAAAATTCGTGTGTATTAGCCCATGAATATTTTGGTGATATGGCTTTCGTAAAATTTCTTTGTGAAGTCTTTATGTACCCCTTCATAGGGAGTTGGGGGAGAAATACGTACAGTCTCACGATTTTCAGAGTCTATTTTGGGCATTTAAGGGGTAATTTACAAGAATTAGGCGATTTTCTTAGTTTTTTTGTGTGTTTTAACCCATGAGTATTTTGGTGATATGGCTTCCGTAAAATTTCTTTGTGAAGTCTTTATGTAACCCTTCATAGGGAGTTGGGGGAGAAATACGTACAGTCTCACGATTTTCAGAGTCTATTTTGGGCATTTAAGGGGTAATTTACAAGAATTAGGCGATTTTCTTAGTTTTTTTGTGTGTTTTAACCCATGAGTATTTTGGTGATATGGCTTCCGAATGATTTCTTTGTGAAACTTTTATGAAACCCTCCATAGGGAATTTGGGTAGCAGTACGTATAGTCTTACCATTTTTAGAGTCCATTTTTGGCATTTAGGGGGGGCATTTACAAGAATTAGGCAATTTTCTCAGTTATTTTAGTGATATGGCTTCTGGACGATTTCTTTGCGAAATCTTTATGGAACCTTCCGTAGGGATTCGGGGGAGCAGTACATACAGTCTCACCATTTTCATAGTCCATTTTGGATATTAGGGGGGAAGTTTACAAGAATTAAGTGATTTTCTCAGCTTTTTTTTGTGTGTTAGCCCATGATTAAATTTTGGTGATATGACTTCTGGATTAATTTTTTTCCAAACCTCTAAGGAATCCTCCATATGGAGTTGGGGAAGAAGTACGTACAGTATCACCATTTTTAGAGTCCATTTTGGATATTTAGGGCGCTATTAATAGGAATTAGATAGTTTTCTCAATTTTTCATGTGTTAGCCTTTGAATATTTGGTGATACAGCTTCCAGATGATTTCTTTGTGAAACCTTTATTGAACCGTCCATAGGGATTTAAGAGAGTAGTACGTACAATCTCACCATTTTTAAGTCCATTTTGGGCATTTATGGGGGTAACTTACGAGAATTGGGCGATTTTCTCAATTTTCCGTGTGTGTTAGCCCATGAATATTTTGGTGATATGATTTTCGGATGATTTCTTTGTGAAACTTTTATTGAACCCTCCGTAGGGAGTTGGGGGAGCTGTACATGTACGTACAGTCTCACCATTTTTAGAGTCAATTTTGGGCATTTAGGGTGCAATTTACAAGAATTAGACGATCTTTTCAATTTTTATATGTTAACGCTCATGAATTTTGGTGATATGACTTTCAGACGATTTCTTTGCGAATTATATACGGAACACTTTGTAGGTAGTTGGGGGAGAATTACGTACTATATCACCATTTTTAGAGTCCATTTTGGATATTTAGGGGCCAATTTACATGAATTAGGCAATTTTCTCAATTTTTCGTGTGCATTTACCCTATGAATATTTTGGTGATACGACTTCCAGACGATTCGTTTGTGAAATCTTTATGTAACCTTTCGTAGGAAGTTGGGGGAGCATTACGTACAATCTAATCATTTTCAGAGTCCATTTTGGGCATTTAGGGGCCAATTTACAGGAATGAGGTGATTTTCTCAGTTTTTGCGTGTGTTAACCTATGAATATTTTGGTGATATGGCTTCCGCATGATTTCTTTGTGAAACCTTTATGGAACCCTCCGTAGGGAGTTGGAGGATCAATACGTACAATCTAACTATTTTTAGAGTCTATTTTGGGCATTTTGGGGGAAATTTACAGGAATTGGGCGATTTTCTTAGTTTTTTTGTAATTGTTAGCTCGTGAATATTTTTTCTAAATGGCCCCCAGACGATTTTCTTTGTGAAACCATTACGCAACCCTCCATAGGGAGTTGGGGTAGAGTTATGTACAATGTCACCATTTTAGAGTCCATTTTGGGCATTTAGGGGCCAATTTGCATGAATTAGGCAATTTTTTTAATTTCTCGTGTGTGTTAGCCAATGAAAATTTTGGTGATACGGCTTCCAGATGATTTCTTTATGGAACCTTAGTAGGGAGTTGGGAGAGCAATATGTACAGTCTCACCATTTTTAGAGTCCATTTTTGGCACTTAGGGGGGCAATTTGTAGGAATTAGATAATTTTCTGAGTTTTTTGTGTGTGTTAGCGCATGAATATTTTGGTGATATGGCTTCCAGATGATTTCTTTGTGAAACCATTACGCAACCCTCCATAGGGAGTTGGGGTAGAGTTATGTACAATGTCACCATTTTAGAGTCCATTTTTGGCACTTAGGGGGGCAATTTGTAGGAATTAGATAATTTTCTGAGTTTTTTGTGTGTGTTAGCGCATGAATATTTTGGTGATATGGCTTCCAGATGATTTCTTTGTGAAACCTTTTCGAAACCTTCGTAGGAAGTTGGGGGATTAGTACATACAGTCTCACAAAAAACTGAGAAAATCATCTTATTTCTGTAAATTGGTCAATATCATCAAAAGATGCATGAGCTAACACACACAAAAAACTGAAAAATTCATCTAATTCTTGTTGAGTGTCCCCTAAATACTAAAAAAATGGTGTGGATCATGGTAAGGCTATAGGAATTGTTACCCAGGTAATTATGGATGGTTTTGTGAAGATTTTGACAAAAAAGTTCTTAAAATTTGTATCAACAAAAATTCATGAACTAACACACACGAAAAATTGAAAAAGTCGTTTAATTCTTGTTGAGTGACTCCTAAATGCTAAAATAAGTATCATGGATCATGGTGAGACTATAAAAAATTGTTCCCCGGGTGGGTCATTATGGATGATTCTATAAAGGATTTGACAAAAAAGTTTTTGAAATCCATATTACCAAAAAATTCATGGGCTAAAACTCACCAAAAACTATGAAAATCACATCATTCTTGTTGAGTGACCCCTAGAAACTAAAAAAAGTGGCGTCATATTTTCAAAAAGTTATCGACTAACACACCGGGAAAGTTGAAAAAATCTTAAAAACCATTTTCGTGACCTCTAAAGGATTACAAAAGTGGTGAGCATCCTCTAGAGGCAACGGATATGGTTCGATAGGTCATTACGGATGGTCCTTAAAAAGTTTGGGTCAAACAAAACCAATTAGTAATATTCCCAAAAATTAATGGAACACATACAAAAAATTTGGAAAATTGTGAATTCCTATTTTGTGACCCCTTAATGTCCTAAAATAGTGACAAAAATAGCTATCTTGCACACTAAAACAATGCACGCAAAGGAATTTCTTGATATTTCAAAAATAGTGATCTAGATTTCTCTAGTAAAGAATTGACACTTGCCAATTGTGTAGACTACAATTTGTGGCACCATATCCTAATCCTACCTATCCTAGTTAAATTGATAGTGTAAGTTGTCACCTAAAAATGTAAAATTGTCACACCTATAACATATCTCGTCTCACACACGAATGAAGAACATAGCAATATGCGATATTAGGGCATGAATCGCAAAAATTGTGAACCATCAAGTCACTAAAAGCAAGTAGCATCCAAATCCATTAGGTCGAGGACACGTCTTGCTTAGGCATCATACATCACATATTGCATTGTAAAAGAGAAAAAAAGTCAAAGGGGTTTTAATACTATTTTAACCTTGTTCATACAATATAATTTTACTACGGAGGAAGTTTAATTAAGCCATCCACCAAAATAGATTTTTTTAAAACTCATCTAATCTCACAAACAATTATTCTCTTATTTAAGAGTCGAATCTACTAATTAGAAGGTGCTTCTAACATTGGATTAACTGGCGTTTAAGATATATTAACTAATGACCGCCTTCTTCAAGCTGTATTTTAATCTTAAATAATTTGACAGTATAAAAAAAATAAACATTGTCAGAATAAATTAAAAAAATAAAAACTTTTTGGAAATCCAAAATTAGGGGTGGATGCACCATATAAGCTATTAGGGGCGCTAAGTTCAAGTCTTCTTGGATACGAAGTCGTCTTTGTTAGGGAGTGATTTACCCCTAATATGGGACTTCCTGATGCGACTTCAGATTTAGTCCAATGTGAGTACTGGACACCGGATGTAAAACAAAAAAAAGAGGTTTTTTGTTAATTAAATTAAAGGGATAAGTGTCTGAAAAATACCTCAACTTTGGCCGGATTTGCTGTTGCGATACTAAACTTTCATGAGGACCTATTACCTCCTTAGACTATTTAATACTGTATTTTTTACCCCCTGAACTATTTAATAGTGTATTTTAAAGGTATATATGTGTCCACGTGGACATATTACTTTTTATAATTTTGCATTATTTTTTATGTCCACGTGGGCAAATATATATGTTTAAAATATGGTATTAAATAGTATAGGGAGGTAATAGGTCCTCATGAAAGTTTAGTATCGCAACAGCAAATCCGACCAAAGTTGGGGTATTTTTCAGATCCTTATCCCTAAATTAAATAAACAAGTAAAGACTTCTTGGAATTTGAATAAATTCGACAGGAAATTATGAAATCTTGAAGATCTCTTCTTTGTCTAATGAAGAGTCCGCTTTAAAATTGTATGTTTTGTACTCACTATCCGAATTCCGAGTATATGTTATGTTGTATGTGTATGTACAAATATTAACGACTCAATAACTCAAATAGTCGATAAAATGAACAACATTTCGAACCTATAAAATTCAAATTCCGAATCGTTTTCAAAGTCAACCACACTACAATTAGGGCTGCTAAGAAAATAGAAATAACAAGGAAACAGACAAAAAGACCAAATAATTGTATGATCTCACAGTTTATAAGATGCTTCCATGTGGCAACATGTAAAGGTTAACCAAACAAAAAAATATGTCAAGAGAGTGGAATATTAAAAAATTATCAATCAATCTCATCGCACATTCATATGTTGTTTCTCATTTTCTATGTAGCAGGTAACAAACTACTTTGTTATAAAGATATATAATATGGAAATATTCAAAGTTCTACAAAGATGACTTTAATAAATAAGATGAAAAAACTTGTAGATCCAGCTGTTAATGTTTATTTTTACACTTTGATTATCAATCAGAGCAATTGAATTAGTCCTTTTAGACAGCTCTTTACTAACAACTATTTTATCAAGAAATTTTAGTATAAATACATAGGCCAATGAGTCCACAAAAGACATCACTTCTCAACTGAAAAACTAAAAGTTGTCTTCTTTCTTCTTCCCCTAACTAGCTAACCACATTTGGGAGGCTAGGTGGTGTAATTTTCCGGCGATATGAGGCTTAACAATGGCGGCCCTGCCAAGGGTCGTCAATATTTGCCACAAATCTTAGTGGCATTGGCCATATTGGCTGTTGCTAATGTAGTGTCGGCAGACCCTTATGTATACTCTTCTCCACCACCTCCAGTGTATGAGTACAAATCACCACCACCTCCTTCTCCGTCTCCACCACCACCTTATGTGTACAAATCTCCACCTCCTCCCTCACCTTCTCCCCCACCTCCATATGTTTATAAGTCACCTCCTCGTCCTTCTCCATCACCACCACCACCATATGTGTATAAGTCCCCACCACCTCCCTCACCGTCTCCACCACCACCCTATGTGTATAAGTCTCCCCCACCTCCTTCACCATCTCCACCTCCACCATATTACTACAAATCTCCTCCACCACCATCACCTTCACCACCACCTCCATATTACTATAAGTCACCACCTCCACCTTCACCGTCACCTCCACCACCATACTATTACAAATCTCCACCACCGCCTTCACCATCACCACCTCCACCATATTATTATAAGTCTCCACCGCCACCTTCTCCTTCACCTCCTCCACCATATTATTACAAATCTCCACCACCTCCTTCACCTTCTCCTCCACCACCTTATTACTACAAGTCTCCACCTCCTCCATCACCTTCACCACCACCACCATACTATTACAAGTCTCCTCCTCCACCTTCCCCATCACCACCCCCACCATACTATTACAAGTCCCCACCACCACCGGCTAAATCACCTCCTCCACCGTACTATTACAGTTCTCCACCACCACCAGTGAAGTCTCCCCCTCCTCCATACTACTACTCCTCACCACCACCACCAAAGAAATCACCACCTCCACCATATCACTACAGTTCCCCACCACCACCAGTTAAATCACCTCCAACTCCATACTACTACAAGTCTCCACCACCACCAAAGAAGTCTTCTCCCCCACCATACTACTATACTTCACCACCACCACCAACTCATTACTATCCTCCACATCATCAATTTGTAGTCAAAGTTGTCGGAAAAGTATATTGTTTTAGATGCCATAATTGGAAGCACCCAGAGATGTCTCACGGCAAGAAACACTTGAAAGGTACCATAGTCTTTATAGTTTATACACTCATATTTTTTATTTTCTTTTAATTTATCATCAAAAATTTGTTTAAATGTACATATTTTATTTTTTGTTGCTTTGTTCATTATGCTCTGATCAAAATTCATATATAAATTGTTTTTGTGTTAATTAATGTTTCTTTTAAAATGGATTAGGTGCTGTTGTTGAAGTGACTTGCAAGGACGGTGACAAAGAAATTGTGAGTTATGGTACCACTAAGATCAATGGCAAATTTAGCATCACTGTTGAAGGATTTTGAATATAGCAAATATGGAGCAAAGGCTTGCAAGGCTAAACTCCACAATGCTCCTAAGGATTCAAAGTGTAGCATTCCTACAAACCTTCATTGGGGAATTAAGGGTGCTAACGTCAAAGTGAAGTCAAAGAATAAATATGAAGTTGTACTCTATGCAAAACCATTTTGCTTATGGCTCAAAGACACCTTATGCAGAATGCCTAAAGCCCAAGCCTACACCTGCTCCATACTATTATAAATCTCCTCCACCTCCAACACCGACTTATGTTTATAAGTCACCACCTCCACCATCACCAAAATATGTGTACAAGTCACCACCTCCCCCAACCCCAACATACGTTTATAAGTCTCCACCACCACCTGCTTACTATTACAAATCTCCACCACCACCAACTAAGTCTCCACCACATTACTATTACAAATCTCCACCTCCACCATCACCAAAACCTGCACCGGTATACTATTACAAATCTCCACCTCCACCATCGCCAAAACTTGCACCTGTATACTATTATAAATCACCACCACCACCATCACCAAAACCTGCACCCG